TGAAGAGATTTTATGTGATCGCATATACTTCTGATAACATCCCTAGTTATTACTTAGCGATGATTACGATTAGTATGACGCCCTCGCAGATCCGCTTCTATCAAGCCACTTACCTTACCTTTTTTTCTAAAGGCTTATAGACAAATTGCTTACTTAATGGATATGTGTTTAGAAACATCTTCTTGTACACAGTTAAATAGTTTTCCTGGTCGTCTAAAACAGCTCTTGAGAGTCTATAAATCAAAGTAAACCTACGCCTAGATTCCATGTCAGTGAAAATCCTTAGTTTTTTTGTTTGACAACCAAGTTTTCAATAAAGGCTTACTGCTTTTCACGGTTTCCTAAATCTTAAAGCCTATTGAAAATCAATATTCTTTCATCATCACTCATTTTCGTTGACCATTTTAGTCTACAGTTCATATGACACATAGGACCCAAAATAGGACAAATCCATCTATTGGTTTATCTCATCAATATCTGCGTCAAAAAGGGGCGGTAACTGTGTAAAAGAAAAACAAAAATATCTTTTTATTGAGATTTTTTGAAAAGAATACTATAGTAAGTCATGCTTCATATCGAAGTACAATATCTTAAGTGTGACATAGGATAAAAAAAGTATAGGAAATTCCAACGTAAAATATCGTAAGAACAGATACGGGACTCGTTTATATTTTTTTCAATAGTAAACTATTGTAAGTATTTACTTACGATATTGGAGAAGGATCTAACTTCAACGTATAGTATAGTATATATATACTTACGATATTTTACTGTGGGTATTGTACTATTTCATATTATTATATTTTAAATAAATCATAAAATCATTATTAATATTGTAAAACATATAAATTACCTTGTACCCTCGTAGCACCCTCCACAAAAGGGTTGGATGTACACACATCATCACTATAAGTTGAATTATTAGCGTTTACCGGTTATTGCCGATCAAACATATCACATTGTTTTACCGATTTAATTACTGCATCAATCATTCGTTTTGACCTAGATGACATAGTTGATAGTTAATCTTATACTTACTGTCCATTAAATAATATAAATCAGTACATTTTTCCAAATGTGATCTTAGCCGCGCTGGTACTCCTCTGCAGCGTATACAATCGGTACTACTACTTACCATTCCTTCGCGCGGCTAAACGATCCCTCGCCTCCCGCGTACAGCACATTAACTGCACTATACGATATATTACTACGGTAAATATGAACATACGACAATATGCACTCTCAATATCTTTGGTTCTATTGCAAATAAAAAAATTTTTATTAGATGAAACGATAAACGATGTTATAAAGTATTTGAAAATCTAAAAATGTCATTTTCGTAAATTTGTTGGTTACGATAATATACGTAGGAGGTGTCGACATATTTGCAAAAAACTTTCCACCTCTCACGTGGGCTAACAGGGCGAATTCTCTATCAAATACCTGATATCAATAATGCGTTATTTGGATGTGTCAGCGTACTAGCAATTCTGATGGCATAAAGTTTCTCTCTATGAAATATCTTTAACCTTCAGAGAATAAACAAAACATTAGAGGTTATCTTAGCACAAAAAATATTGTTATAAGTCTATTTTGATAATTTTCGAAACTAAACAAATTAAAATAAATTCTAGACTATTTATTTTAGGCTACGTATACACTTAAAATATTTTTTTAATGTTTTGAAAGTATTTATTTTCGTGTAAATAATTTTGAATTTTTTTTTTCTTAACATACGAATATTCGACCCCGCTGTGAGTGAGCGGTTACCGTTATCAATGTACGTCGGCAAACCCGAAAGATCTGTGAAGTACTGCTTTTTTTCCCTACCTATGCTGATAGCCTTGAGAGGCTATATCAGCTTCTCCTTGACGTGTAGGTGAGCTCACGGGGCTCAAACCGGAGTGTTGCTAACACTGGCCCTAGCAAGAACAGTGCTTCGCAGAATCTACCACCGGATCGGAAGCCCACTGAGAAGATCTGGCGAGAAACTCAGTGGGCTGTGTCTGTGGGCTGTGTCTGTGGGTTAATTCACTCGTCGAGCACTTCGTCGCAAGTGACGGGTTCGACGAGGACGGTGACTGGTAAAGTACTGCTCTTGCTAGGGCTAGTGTTAGCAAATTCTCTCAGGTTGAACCAGTGAGCTCACCAACCCGTCCGCACGTACCTAAAATAGCCTGTTAGACTACCAGCGAATAGATAAAGGGCATACACAAGGCGATGCCTGCCATTTAAATTAATACCGAATTTCCGAGACACGTAAACCAATTACTTTTATTGACATGACATTTACAACATTCATATTGAATTCGAATTGCAAAACGTACATTTTAAAGGCGAACCAAATCTTCGGTTAAGTTCTTCGTGTACCATCGACGCTAACAATGGATCGACTGAAATATAAGGTTCGTTTTCCGCTGCACTTAATTGATCTAGGTCGGTGAATACCACGATTCCAACATTGCGTTTCAATCTATGTTTAGTTAGCTTAACTGAGTTAGCTTACTTTATTTAAGAGCATATTAATTTAGTTTCCTTAAAAAATCTATCTGCCACAATTATAGTTCCAAATACTTACATACTAGTGGTAGGACGTTTTGTGAGTCCGCGCGGGTAGGTACCACCACCCTGCCTATTTCTGCCGTGAAGCAGTAATACGTTTCGGTTTGAAGGGCGAGGCAGTTGTAACTATACTGAGACCTTAGAACTTATATTTCAAGGTGGGTGGCGCATTTACGTTGTAGATGTCTATGGGCTCCAGTGACCACTTAACACCAGATGGGCTGTGAGCTCGTCCACCCATCTAAGCAATAAAAAAAATTATGTTGCAATGCACTGTTCGGAAGAAAGCAGTGATAAGAATCATTTATTACATGTTTCTATTTTTTTTAGACATAAAGTTACAAACAGAAAGGTCACGTTAGGTTTAGCCACCGAGTACATTATGTAACTATCAGATCATTTAATAAAAATAGTGAAAATTAATTTTTAAATCTGCTATCCACAACAATGTTTTAAAACCGACCGGCCTAACAAAACCAAAAATAATATTCCTATATAGAGCTAATAAACGACTCATGTGCGGTTGATACTTGATAATAATGAATTCCATTCTAGCGACAGCTACTGAGTCATAACTAATAACTATAGACGAATTACTCAATTAAAAATCAATAAATTACAAACAAATGCCTACTTTTATCATAGTTCTTGCATTATTCTTCTAAGAACTCCCGTTAATTTATGCATTTCGGTTTTCTGTCATTAACAACCTCGTTTTTAGAAGCCAAATTAAATGAGGAAAAGCAAATTTATGACAGAAACTGCGAACAGCATTTAAGACATCGTGAAAACAAGCGGAGGCAATCAAAGCCTTCCGTCGGGCCACGGCTTATGCTTCATTGTCTAAGTTTAACTTCTCTTTGGAAATTTTTAATAGAATTCCTCAAACTGCCAGTTTTTATACAATGTATTCTGTATTGAAAGGCGAAGTAGCTACATTGTGGTACCGAGAAGCAATTTAATTAGGAATTTAAAAGAATATTCAACGTATTTTTGCAGGTATGAAAACTTTTATGGTTCCATGATGGCTTTGTTAATTTTTCTCAAATAAAGTATATTTGATGCTGTTCATAGTCACCTTACCTTGGGTGCTCAGAATTTACCTGGACATATAGACATTAGCGTGGATTATATTGGTGACTAAACGTAGAATACTCTTCAAATGAAGTACGCGATTGCTTAGCGACAGATATAAGTAGAACTATGGTCCTTATCCGCTGGTGCTCCCAATTAATCCCACTACCGGTGTACTAAAAGGCTAGGTCAGTACTGTCATATCTTTGCGAGAAATGTGAGAGAGATGAGTGCTTAGTTCACTATGCACTAGGTCAGTGGACTGGTCTGACCAGTGAAGTGACATATCTAGAGCGAAAGGTCCCGTTAGCTAGAGTCGCCATAATGTCGTCAATGGTTGATCGCATTTTTTCGAAATTTAAACAGAATTCATTATTACTATTTTCATAGTATATATAGTAATAGATTAGCTACTTCGTAAGTTTTTTGAGAAAAAGGGCTACTTAGCCTCGTTAGAGTATGTAAGCAAAGTTGTTTAAATACCAGAAATCACACATATAGACCCAAATTTGCATCCATTACTGTAAATTACAAAGACAATTATTTTATAATTCAAAGTAAATAATAATTATCATTGATGACGATTAAAACATTTTATGGAAATGAAAAACAGATTGAATGAAATTATAAAAAAAACTACAACAATTTTAAGTTTCAAAGAGTCATCGAAATCATTAACCTAAAATATTATTCTTATAATTTTTAATCGTATCTAAATCTCTAAGCTTTACCATATTTGAAAAATCAGATTAGGCATAAAAACTATTTTAAATGAGTTATTTAGTTGTAATTTTTATTCAGTATTTACATACTTCATTTAGTATTTACATACTTCATTTAGTATTTACATACATACTTTAATATCTTTACAGATATTTCATTTAAAATTTATAATTGTATAATAATTGTAGGTAGGTCAATGTTGGCCAGTGGTGCAAATGAAGTTTCTCGTGAAAAGTGTTGCTAATAGTTAGGTGACCATCAATCAATGGATTGAAGCCCAATTAAGTCACCGATATGACGTATATTACGAAATTGTTTTGCATTGCATTTCATCGACAGGCCTTGTTTAAGGAGTATTAAATTTATTCCAAACATGTTTCTTAATATCACTGAGGCTTCTAGAATGTACCATGAAACCTGTTGTCTATAAAGTCAATTTTGGATCTGTATTTTTCTATGAAAATTCAGTTCTGTTTGGGAATTTCAGTATCTATTAATTTTGAAAACCAAAAGTCTAAATCGAATAATTGGATGAACTCAACTTCAATATTTTTAAGTTATCGTTTGTTTTTACTGCATAGATTTCTTGGTGCGATACCCTTTGTAAGTGCCGTGTTGTATCTGTTTTAAATTCATTACAGGTTGAAAATGCGAGCGATATTTGCGACGTTGGCTGTCCTGGCGAGTTGCGCCGCATTAGTTCAATGTGAGTATATTATAACTAACCGTTATGTATACATTATTTATGAGTTGGACGTTTACAATGGAAATTGTTCTAGCTTAAGGTGATGTGTAATCGCAACCCGAATTAATGAGGTTATATCCCACTCAGTAGTAATTTTTTTTAAATTAAATTTATTAGTTAAAAATTTAAAATCGAATTGGACGTCTAAAATGGTTTAGATTTTGATGGTTAGTTTTACATACGACTAATAGTATTACACGGAATTTTAAATTTTGGTTGCAATTTTAGTTTACTTGTTGTATTTGATTGTCATAAAAAATATGTTATTGGAAATATGGATACAATTTTTTTATTATTATTATTCTTAAGGGCTTAGCATTTAATTTGGTATTTCTTTTAGTTACATGCTCTCATTAATTTTCTTGTTTGCTCAATGAATGTTTTTGAGTTTGTTTATCCAATTTCATCCCGTAGACGTACGTAATCCAAAACTGTAATACATACATTTAGTTCATAAAGTGAGTAGTGATAAAACAGCGCCTTAAGCTTACGGTTCTTTTCGAGTGAATTCTTTTCAATGGCAATGAAAATATTTACTAGTTCTACTGCTATTTAAATGGGCAAACATGTGTCATTAACGCATACTACTAACTATACATTGACAAATACACATTTTTGTTTGTCAATAGCTTCAAAGGACAGTCACACCAAATGCTGGTTCAAGCTTAGAGAAATAACTGAAAAATTTACAATATGTAAATTAATTTAGCAAGTAAAGCGATTAGCATACACGTACAGAAGTATCCCTAGCGAATCGATTAAGCCTTATACAAATAAATACATAATAAGATGTCTTGGTAATAAAAAATATAGACAGCTTATTGAAGTAAAGCATCGTACCTCATCATCGTAGGTTTGAAGGGTACGGCAGCCGTAGTAACTATACTGAGACCTTAGAACTTATATGTCAAGGTGGGTGGCGCATTTACGCTGTAGATGTCTATGGGCTTCGGTAACTACTTAACACCAGGTGGGCCGTGAGCTCGTCCACAAACCTAAGCAATAAACAAAAAAAAGTAAATACATTCTTTTAAACGAACTTCTTGGGTTTCAAGAAGAATGTCTTAATCAGGTCATAGATCTCCTGAAACGGCTCTCTAGTTCAGGGAGCATTCTGTACAAATGAAATACGCTTTAGATACAAATTACCTTTACCTCATATCAATTAATCAATGTCATATAAGGTGTAAATAATAAATAAGTGTAAATAAGGTTTTTCGAATTCAAGTACAAAATTTAAATCACAATTTATAATAGTTTAACTAACCTCTTGATTCTGTTACAACCAAAAGCAGATCCTTAATTTAGTTTTTATTTCCTGATTAAGATTAAGCTTTGCGTTCAATTACTAAAGTTAAATCTATATATTGATACGTGAAGCAAAAACTTTGTACCTCTTTTTACGAAAATTGCGCGGTCGGAGGAGTATGAACTTTCCCACACTCCCACAGAGGAGGAGTGCACAGTGCTAATATTTTTTTAAATTATGCATAAAACATACATTAAATCAATAAAAAAAACGTGTGGCAATCGGGAACTGCTGCGGTAAAGCTATTGCATAGCATTTTTTATCAACTTATGCAATTATAATTAGACAATGATAATTTAATATTAAAATAATAATAAAACAAGACCACGCTATACTAAACATTAATAAAAGCAAAACCTTAACTGTCCCCTTCACACTCATAAGCTAGACCGCGCGAGAGAGAGATGGGCAGACTTTTCATGATGCGCATGCAGTGTGACGTCACGCCACGCGCTTATTCACAATCACTACACAAGCGCAACGTGTGAATGTGTTGAACGCGAGCTACATGGTAGGCAGAGTGAGGGGTGTAAGGTTTTTTCCGTTACGGAATTTCATGATTCGGTCGCCTCGCTCAAGGTCCCAAAATAAAAGCTATGCAATAGCTTAAAACATTACACACACTACCATGTATTTGACGCACACACATACATATAATTATACTCTTTGTTTATTATCAATTGTCAAACTTTTGTTAATGTTTAAAGTCTGTGGTCAAATTACGAATAGATTAATATTGTTCGTCTTTAATTTTATTTATTTTTAGTGTATGTTTTGGCGAAATCTGTGATTATATTATAGAAATATAATAGTATTTGATAATAGAACCATAATAATGTTTAAACATAAAATTTCAATTAAAATACTACTGCGGGACTACTTACTAGATGTAATAAATTCGTATTGGCAATTCAACAGCGGACAGCAGAGCGCGCATCGTTTGTTACTTCAGTAACTGGGCGGTGTACCGACCCGGCGTTGGACGTTATGGCATCGAAGACATCCCCGTGGATTTGTGTACCCACTTGATTTATTCCTTTATTGGCGTCACCGAGAAATCTAGCGAAGTTCTCATTATCGATCCTGAGGTGAGTATAGTGCTAACTTAATCATGAATATTCAAATTGAGCATAATAATATCACGTTTAGTATTTCCGAGCGTTCACGAAAGCTCATGGTAATAAAAGTAGGTATCAAGTTAAACTATCAAGACTAGGTTGGTGGAAATAAAATAAGCCCTAAGTAAGAATTTATAATTATGTAAAGTTGTTCATTTTTATAGCTCAGAGGTATTTGTGCTGATAGTATAAATACTAATATATAAATCTACAATGGTTTTTACGGATGTTCCGTTATAACTACTGAACCATGCATCCGTTTGATTTGAAACTTGGTATCCATGTAGAAAATACGTGTACTTAAAGGATAGGCTAATATTTATATGAGTGTTGGACTCCCTAATAATAATGACAATAAATAATAATGTTAATTTTAAATGCCCAGCAAAACGGGCCAGTACGGCTAGTAGTTACTATTTTATTTATTTATTGCTTAGATGGATGGACGAGCTCACAGCCCACCTGGTGTTAAGTGGTTACTGGAGCCCATAGACATCTACAACGTAAATGCGCCACCCACCTCGAGATATAAGTTCTAAGATCTCAGTATAGTTACAACGGCTACCCCACCCTTCGAACCGAAACGCATTACTGCTTCACGGCGGAAATAGGCGGGGGGGTGATGGTACCTACCCGTGCGGACTCCTACCACCTCCTACCACCAGGTCCTACCACCAGTGATTACGCCAGTTATAATTTTGCGGGTTTGATTTTTATTACACGATGTTATTCCTTCACCGTGGAAGTCAATCGTGAACATTTGTTGAGTACGTATTTCATTACAAAAATTGGTACCCGCCTGCGGGATTCGAACACCGGTGCATCGCTACATACGAATGCACCGGACGTCTTATCCTTTAGGCCACAACGACTTCACTACTAAAATTACATGTCTAAATTGTAATTAACTTTCCGTCGCATTTTTTATTTATTGAACTCATTTTCTTGATAGCTGGACGTAGATAAGAGTGGTTTCCGTAACTTCACATCCCTCCGCTCCAAACACCCCGATGTCAAGTTCATGGTCGCGGTTGGCGGTTGGGCTGAAGGCGGCTCCAAGTACTCGCACATGGTGGCCCAGAAGAGCACTAGGATGTCTTTCATCAGAAGCGTTGTGGGTAAGTGATCATTATCAGTACCGTAGACTGAAAATAATTCGGTGTTCGCATGAGCATGAGTCTCTCGCAATTCACACGACTGAGCCTCGATTTGGGTTCATGTCATCATCACATACAATTGTAAGGACAATGAAGGAAGTTAGTTTATACAGACCATGACTAACCTTTAATAAATAAATTAAAATGAAAAAATACTTGATAAAACTAAAGAAAACGCTTTAATAGGAACCCGAACAGTTTTGATCCTAGGGAATATTGGGCTAAGTTTGTAATCTTGATATGTATATGAATGTTTCAAGTTAGTTGGTTACCATTAAGTTGATGTAAATTAGATTGAATAATTCCGTTACATATGTAAATAGATACAGGTCAATATAATAATGGCGTGATAAAAGCAGTTCTTACAATTTAAAGAGACGTTCAAAATTCTGTAAAATATATCCAAGATTTTGTTGTTTAGTTATATATGTCCAAGCAACTTCTTTAGAACGTACTCGCAATGTATTATATAACAAAATAAATTGTATATACAAGTTTTAATTTTTATTAAAACACACACACTCACTGGTGGTAGGACCTCTTGTGAGTCCGCGCGGGAAGGTATCACCGCCCCGCCTATTTCCGCCGTGAAGCAGTAATGCGTTTCGGTTTGAAGGGTGGGGCAGCCGCTGTAACTATACTGAGATCTTAGAACTTATATCTCAAGGTGGGTGGCGCATTTACGTTGTAGATGTCCATGGGTTCCAGTAACCGCTTAACACCAGGTGGGCTGTGAGCTCGTCCGCCCATCTAAGCAATAAAAAAAACACACACACACACACACACAAATTAATTACAATTAACTTATCCGTTTACTTTGATCGCGTTCGAAATCTCCAATGCTGTTGTAATTGATGGTAGTGGGTTAAACAAAGTAAGCGAACAAAAACAAGTTCAGGAAACGAAGAGTTACGTCGTCCATTGAAAGCGGAAGGCGGTTTTTTCCGTTACGCCGAAGACGAGTGGTCTCTCACACGGAATCCTTGCTCACGACACTGTGACCATGTGAAATGGAATCCCCTACTACGATGAACGAATTACATACTCGTATGTAATAATAATCTCTATATATATAAAAATGAATTGCTGTTCGTTAGTCTCGCTAAAACTCGAGAACGGCTGAACCGATTTGGCTAATTTTGGTCTTAAATTATTTGTGGAAGTCCAGAGAAGGTTTAAAAGGTAGATAAATATGAAAATGCTCGGAATTAAATAAAAATAACAATTTTGTTTTTCCTTTGATGTGTCCCCCGTCGGTCTTTTATTTATCGATTGAGGCACTACGAAGTTTGCCGGGTCAGCTAGTAATAAATAAATATTTACTAACAATCACGCCACGTTAACTGGTCCCGTGATAAGTTCGTAAAGAACTTGTGTTACAGGTACCAGATAACGGAAATAAATGTAATATTTTTATTATACACATACATATATTTAATATACATCCATAACCCTGGAAAAGACATTTATATTTATCATACAAATATCTTTCCTTGGCGGGATTCGAACCCGCAACCCCCTTGTGTAGTGACCATGTCACTAACCACTACACCACTGTGACGTATAAATTATGTTAACTTTGGAATCAAAGGTCGATGACTCCCGTTTTGAATACGCTTTTATTATAATAGTTTTGTATATACCTATGTTTGTTCCTATGTAACTTAATATTTTACCGACTTCAAGAGGTTCGATTAACTTGAAAATTTTTACATTAAAAATTTTGCATTAAAAATCAATTAAAATACATTAATTTTTATACTTCGCACTAATGTCTTGACAGTATAAAACCAATTAAAAAAAGATGCTCTCACTCTGCGAAACATCGTCCCATATGGCGTCGCATCGCGAGAGAATCGGTATCGCAGGATCCGACTGATGCATGACCACGACCACTCTGTCAAGAGTGTACGAATAGGAAGAAAGAACTAATGTCTAGACAGTATTAAACCAATTAAAAAAAGATGAAATGATTTGATAATTCGGTTCACCAATTTAATTTTTTTTTTAAATCTTAATCTACACATATTTTTTTACACAGATAATATATCGGGCACACGTTCTAATATTAGCACATGTATGAAAAAAATATTTACGTAATAATTAATTAAAATTACAAATATCGATACCCTAAAGACAAAATATAACTATAAAAGTGATTTTTGTAAAAAAAAACAGACCTGAATCTAAGCTTCTAGTATTGTGACTCCGTTAATCCCAATATTATTTTTATATAAATCGCAAAACAATCAAGTCGTTCGTTTGAAAAGCGGAGGATAGCCTTTATCTTATTTCCTCTGAGACTTTGCTGTTAAATCTCAATAGGCTTCCGAATTATCAAGGTTTCACTGTCTACAGCTTTTGCTCAAATACGAAAAAAAAAAAAACAAGAAGCTCAGTACGTCTAACGCATAAAAAACATTGAAATCTTTTGACCTATTAACCTGAAATCGGTTTTCACTTATTTTTTCTAGTTTTCATTGGTAATACTAGAGCTTCCTGTATAATTATAATAAAGTGAGTGGAGTCTTATGGATAGTAACACAACATGCTTTAATTAGGTTGCGGTTAGTGGATATTCATGTTATCTCTTTAGGATAACATTTCTATTGTTCGGATTTCGTTATAATTCTTCCATTCTTTTCCGTAAAGACAGTTTTAGATTACATAAGAATTGTAAATTGCATAAGTTGCTATCTTATGCGTCACGAATATTTACGTCTAAATATGTGATTTAAGAGAACCACTGTAGATCTCTAGTGTGTGTTAAAAATAATGTTTATTTAATATTTGTACCGAGATTGTCTTATTAAGAGCAACGCGCAGCCGAAATTGTATCAGGGGACTCGGCATTCAATCTATTTTTCAATTTTCGCGTAACACTTCACCAAGATATTCACGTGGGATTATAATATATTTTAAGAGAGAATAATGTGTGAAATTGAATTTATATGAAAGTTTTTCTTTATGTTTTACTGAGTTATTGTTGTCTAAGATACAAAAAAAATAATTGCTGTTTTTAATTTTTAAAACTTCCGAAAACCTTTCTGTCTCTGTTCTATTCGAAAAACGTAAACTAATATTTTTTTACCATTACAAGATAGGGATCAAATATTTGTTTATTACAGTTAATGGAAAGGACAAAGGTTTTGAATCTTTCATTGTACTATACATGTCTCGTAGTGTCTCGCACGTTCCTTTGAAAAATATGCTGACTTTCCGATTCTTTTACAGTGTTACAATTATTAGATTACAAAATATGACTACAAGCGTACAGTATCAGGAATTACGTGGGCTCTCGTTTGTAAAATGTTTGGTTCTAAATCTACATTACGAGTCGCGTAACTCTATTGTGCCGCCGGGAATTTTTATATTCTCACGTTATTAGGCTTTTTGCTTTGAATCTGCGGATTATTGCCATTTTTCCAGGAGATATATTATGTGGGGTCGGCTCGAATGTAGGTAGGTGCTGTTACGAACAATTTATTTCTTAATAGATCCATATGAGATATTGTAGGGTATATCGTCAGTCTACATGGGTGGGTATCAAGCAAAATCATTTCAATTTCTGCCGTGAAACAGTCCAGCGTTCCTATTTGAATAGTGGAAAAGCCATCTTTCAATACAATTGATCTCATGTCCAAAGGTGTTGGCATTTACTATGTGATGTCTTTTTTTTTATTGCTTAGATGGGTGAACGAGCTCACAGCTTCCCTGTCGTTAAGTGGTTACTGGAGCCCATGAACATCTACAACGTAAATGCACCACCTACCTTGAGATATAAGTTCTAAGGCCTCAGTATAGTCTCAACGACCCTTCAAACCGAAACGCATTACTGCTTCACGGCAGAAATAGGCAGGGCGGTGGCACCTACCCGTGCGGATTCACCAGAGGTCCTACAACCAGTAATTACGCAAATTATAATTTTCTATAGGCTCTAGTAATAATTAAACATCAGGTGGACCGTGAATCCACCCATTAATAAAATGCAATAAAAATCGTAACGCTACATTTTTAGACTGCGTTTTTTGATGGATAGAAAAGATTTTCTAGGTATAGAAATTAATGAAGCCCGCAAGATTAATAATTGTATACCAATAACTTCTTAGTTCATGAAAATGTTGATAAGTAAAGTGTAAAAAAACACACACGCTAAATAGTTTTTGTTTATTGTAAACACGAGGAACAAACAAAGATTAAATAAAACAAACAAAATTACAATACTAATATATTCGTAGCTCACTAGTTATTGAATCAAAAACATAATTAAAGTCCACGTGTATAAATAGTGTTTGTTGTTTAATTTAGAAATATTACTTTCAAAGTCAGTTATGGGTGAATAACAGGAAATTTACTCGAATTACTATTACGTTCTTAGAGCGATATCTTACATTGGGTAGACGAGGCGACTACAATATAATTTAACACTTCGGAAATAGCCGTATGTGATTTTAATGGAATTTGGTCACTAGCGTTATAACTCTGCAAACTGATTGATAAATATCCTAATTGACTTTAGTTTTAAGTTTCAGCTTAAGATAATAGAAAAAAGTTAATTTATCGATAATACATTTAAAATTAGCAGCACGTTAATTGATTCTTCGGGACTAATAATAAAGCATATTATGTTTAAAAAGAAAAACTATTAATTATATTCTAGTTATTTCTTTCGCGATATCTGCCATGACTTCTGCTTCGAATAGACCTTGGTAATACCATCTCTTACCAAGCCCTATCGGAATATAGTTTGAGGACAAAAATAAGCAGAACAGTTAATTAATCAGTACGACATTAAGATTCAGTCCTTTTAATTCCTAAGAGGACACTTGATTGATAAAACATAGTAATAATATCTACTACTGCTACGGATGGGTGATGAATGTCATCTAATTAATGATCGAGCAAGTAATTTTTATATTAGGTTTTTTTTATTGCTTAGACGGGTGAACGGGCTCACAGCCCACCTGGTGTTAAGTGGTTACTGGAGCCTATAGACACCTACAACGTAAATGCGCCACCCACCTGATATAAGCTCTAAGGTCTCAAGTATAGTTACAGCGGCTGCCCCGCCCTTCGAACCGAAACGCATTACTGCTTCACGGCAGAAATAGGCGGGGCGGTGGTACATGCCCGTGCGGAATCACATGAGGACCTCCCACCAGTTAAAAAATAAATTTCCATCTACAGACTTCTTGAAGAAATACGACTTCGACGGTTTGGATCTCGACTGGGAGTATCCCGGTGCCGCCGACCGAGGTGGCTCCTTCTCCGATAAAGACAAGTTCTTGTATTTCGTCCAAGAGTTAAAGAGGGCGTTCATCAGAGCCGGTAGAGGATGGGAGCTGACTGCTGCCGTACCGCTTGCTAATTTCAGGCTGATGGAGGGATATCATGTACCAGAGCTGTGTCAGTAAGTAGTACAATCAATTAAAAACCTATTTTGGCTTTGGTAACGTAATGACATATTTTTGTTTGGACACGTTTTTAAATTCTTAATCACCACCATAAGGTCATGCTCTTGTGGTGAAACACATCGTATATGTGAGTATTACTATAGCTTCATTTTGGGTCCTCCCAATTCATCCAAGGTTCTTTTAAGGTATTCCAAGCACCGGTTACCGTTCGAAGTCAAATTAACCGACATACATAACTCACTGAGCATCTCACTAGATTTACCAGTGGGATGCGATTCCGAAGCCCTTGCTAGGGCAGATGTTAACAGTCTCTCAAACTGAGCTCGCCTAACAGTTAGGTGAAACCCCTAGAATCTATTGGTGCCTGGCTAAAAAAAAACCATGAGAGTTTCCCCCAAAAACTTCCAAATTTCAAATTGCCAATTGTTTCCAAATTGATAATTCAGCTAAAGCTTCAAGATTAGGTGTATAACAGACGCGATCTCCAAGAGCAAAGTAATGTCGACTGGACGATTCAAAACCTAACCTATATTTTGGTAATTGTAATAAATTAATTTCAACGGTTCTTTTAGTGTGGACTGAGAATGAGATAAGCAATGTAAATGATAAATACCTCTTTGACGTTAATATCACACACTGGCAAACTAATTACACCGATCTTTAATCTAATTAATACCTAGGAAATTGTAATGAAGACTCATTTTCTCAGGGAACTGGACGCTATCCACGTGATGTCGTATGATCTGCGCGGTAATTGGGCCGGTTTCACCGATGTGCATTCGCCTTTATACAAACGACCTCACGACCAATGGGCCTACGAGAAACTTAACGTGGTATGTTTTCTATGTGTGCCTGTGGGAGTCTTTGGTTAATACGTCTTCAAAGCGTCTTCTTCTTCTCAACCGTGTCACTCTTTATAGAGTAGTCGTGAGCGTAATGTAGAATTGAGTACGTAGTTTAGTAGAAAGTTTTAAAGCTGTCTGCGGTAATTGAGGACCGATATAGTCGCGTTACTTACGCTACACACTCGTATCCGCGCTTCAAACGCCTTATCAATACTGGTTGTAGGACCTCTTGTGAGTCCACGCCGGTAGGTACCACCACCCTGCCTATTTCTGCCGTGAAGCAGTAATGCATTTCGGTTTGAAGGGTAGGGCAGCCGTTGTAACTATACTGAGACCTTATAACTTATATCTCGAGGTGGGTGGCGCATTTACGTTGTAGATGTCTATGGGCTCCAGTAACCACTTAACACCAGGTGGGCTGTGAGATCGTCCACCTATCTATGCAATAAAAAAAAAATAAAAAAAACATTTGTGTGCTTTGTGCGAGATTTTTAACTTCTCTATCGCGTAAAAGTTAGCTCCAATTTGTATGGAGTTGGAAAAGCTTTCCTTCGTTTGTCGTTAAGCACACTGTAGCTTAAATAAGAATGATATTATGTATGGAAGTCAACATACAATTTTCGGACTTCAATTTATAAATTTTATAATTACATTTATGCTTATTCTTTGACGACAACAACGTGTAAAATTATACTCTTTGATGTTAACTTAATTTATTTAACGTTTGAACATCTATATAAGTAGATATTTCGATATTTATTTAGCTAGAAGAGCCATTATTTAGAATCGAGAATAAGTTATTGATACAAATATTTGCCTGTCCGAGCACTCGAGGAGCTTTCAAAGAAAATCAACTATGTTAGTTTACGATATTGCCAGACATCATAACATAAAACTTTTATTATGACAGATTCGTTGAGATTATTCAAACAGATAATATTATATGTAGGTGTGAATATTTAAAGTACATTTCAGTAATTTTATTATTTCTGCAATAGTATAAAATATATTTCGCACACTCAATAATTGTTTTAGTAAATTTTTGTTCTGTATACTGGTAATATAATTAAGTATTTTTGGTGCGGAATTTACTAGATTTAGATTGATTTAAATTAAATACTAGCTCACCAAATATCAATTTTTTTTTTTGTAAATTCAGTTTATTTTGTCATTTCTGTTTTTTTCATTTTCAGAATGATGGTCTTAATTTATGGGAAGAGAAGGGTTGCCCTACCAATAAACTAGTGGTCGGTATTCCGTTCTATGGACGTTCATTCACTTTATCTGCTGGAAACAACAACTATGGCCTTGGAACTTATATAAACAAAGAGGCTGGTGGTGGAGACCCTGCTCCCTATACAAACGCAACTGGATTCTGGGCTTATTATGAAGTAAGTTTAAATTTGCATTAAATTAAATATATACCTATTTCTGCCCTGAAGCAGTAATGCGTTTCGGTTTGAAGAGTAGGGCAGCGGTTGTAACTATACTTGAGACCTAAGAACTTATATCTCAAGGAGGGTGGCGCATTTACGTCGTAGATGTCTATGGGCTCCAGTAACCACTTAACACCAGGTCAGCTGTGAGCTCGTCCATCTATCTAAGCAATAAAAAAAATCAATTAATATTGAGTGTACCACATCCGATTTTGACATTATTCCCAATTGACAATCGACGTTTTCCATTAATTTGAAAATGTCAAGAAAAAAGGGGTTTTCTTATTTCAAAATTCGAATCTGTTCGTAGATTTGCACAGAAGTAGATGCAGATGGATCAGGATGGACTAAGAAATGGGACGAGTTCGGCAAATGCCCTTACGCATACAAGGGAACTCAATGGGTGGGCTACGAAGATCCTCGTAGTGTGGAGATCAAGATGAACTGGATCAAGGAGAAGGGCTACCTCGGGGCTATGACGTGGGCTATAGATATGGACGATTTTAAGGGACTATGCGGAGAGGAAAATCCCTTGATCAAGCTTCTGCATAAGCATATGAGCACTTATATAGTCCCGCCTGCGCGCACTGGACACACAACTCCCACTGTGAGTATAACGCATATAGTGGATATTTACTGCAAGTAGGTTAATTCAATTATGCTACCCCTACTAATCCCTATGATTCAATAGCATTTTTCACAACATTATTATTCGAATTGGTTGGTCTGAATTGGTTGTGTGAAAGTAATGGCATTTACATATATTGTTGTATGTACGTATAGTGTTGTATGTATGTGTGAATCTTCTTGCGACATAAACATATTGGTGGTAGGACCTCTTGTGAGTCCGCATGGGTAGGTACCACCACCCTGCCTATTTCTGCCGTGAAGCAGTAATGCGTTTCGGTTTGAAGGGTAGGGCAGCCGTTGTAACTATACTGAGACCTTAGAACTTATATCTCAAGGTGGGTGGCGCATTTAAGTTGTAGATGTCTATGGGCTTTAGTAACCACTTAACATCAGGTGGGCTGTGAGCTCGTCCTACCCATCTCAGCAATAAAAAATAAAAAATAAAAAAATATTCGTCTCCAACTGTGTCGCACTAGGCTGCAGCCTACTAAGCCAGGGAATCTCACCACTGATGTTACTAAGTTGACAATTGAGAATTCATTCCTTATACGACAAGAAAAAAAACTTATGATACTAATTTTACTATTATTAAACTTATCGTCAACTTCACATGAAGCTAATTTTTAATTTCGACTACGAGTCCTTTTTTTTTGATTTATGACCCGGTAACTAAGACCTTTAGCTCAAGTGTTATTTTAATTGATATTCTTATTTTTATGAAAAATGATAATATGGAGTGAAATGAAATGAAGATGATTAATTTGAGACGCTAATCAACTGGGACGAAATAAAATGAAATGAAACGAGATGAGATGATATGGGATGAAATATAATCTCAGTAAAATTGTGGTTATTTACTGAGATTTTTTCAGTGGACTTTTTGGAGGATCCCGAAAAGTTACGTCCAGCGGCTTTGTTTCAGTTTCCCACATTTGTGCATTTTTACAGATATTAAACAGTTAATAAACCACCGTTATTACACATTTAAACCGGAATAAACGCTAAATAGACAAAATAAAACAAATCACACAACTTCAAAGTTTCAACTTCGAAGTTCAAACGTTTCCGCCAAAAAGTCACTACGAGTCCTTTTATTGGACAAGGTTGCCATGAATCTGTTCAACTCTTGACATATACCTAACATTTTGTATACAGCCGGAATGGGCGCGTCCACCTTCAACTCCATCAGACCCATCTGAGGGTGATCCGATTCCTACCACAACCACCACCACCGTGAAACCGACGACAACAAGAACCAGCGCGAGGCCTTCTACTACCACAACGAAAGTACCCCATGGCACCACCGAAGAAGAATTTGACATCAACGTGAGACCGGAAGTCGAGGAACCACCCACGGTAAATATACAACTTCTTCTGTTCAAAGTACACAAAGTGGTATCTAGGCAAAATTATATTGAACTCGCACAGGAGAACATTTACAAATATTGTCTTATAGAAATCATTAAAACGTTTCAACTTTATTTGAATATGCAATTTCGAAAAGGGCACATGTCGCATATTTTGTCAAATACGTTTTTTCATATACATGTAGTTTTGAGGCTCACCTACACCCATTTTATAATAATTCCAATAATTTTCAATTGCTTATTAACACTAAAATATATCAAAAGTTAATATTTTAAATTTTACACTGCTTTAGAAAATGATCAGTTTTTTTTCATTTCCTGAACATTTTACATTGTCAGAGATGTGCCCTTTATGAAATTGCATATTCATTTATATTTATGAAGAAAAGTATTTATCCCCGCGTTGATCAAGTGATTAGTATCCGTGTATACAGAAATACAGTCCGACTCATTATCTGTCTGAAAGATATTTGACGTTGAAGATCTAGTTACTTAGTGCGGATTTTTTAACGTTCTCGATAACGTAAAAGTTAACTCAAATTTGTATAACAACGCCCCTAGCGGCACACGTAGGCAAACGATCCAACTCCATACTAATTTGAGTTAACTTTTACGCTATCGAGAACGTTAAAAAATTCTCACTTAGCACACTGTACATGCTTGTATTTATCCTGTATGCGACGAAAATTAGGGCACGGGGGAATATACTCGTTTGGGGTCGTCGAATATAAAACATTTATTTATTATATTATTGTACGTACATTTAGAATTACAGCGAGCGACTTGTTCTAATTAGCTATACGATTTCAAATATTTTCATATAATGAACAATGTCCTTTGACAACAAAACCTTTTGGAATTCACATTTCTTTCTCAACGAATAATTTTTTTGTCTTAACTATATCTTTACCTTTTTATCCTTTAAGGAAAACGAAGTCGACAATGCAGATGTGTGTAACTCTGAGGACGACTACGTACCAGACAAGAAAGAGTGTAGCAAGGTAAATACAAATCTAAAATATGCACTACTAAAATAGAATAATAAAATAGCCCTACAAAAGTCAGCGAAGCCAAGCCTAAACCAGCCTTAATATAAAAATAAATTGAAACTAACCTTTTCTAGTACACTTTTGAAACTTGATTGATTAACAATTTAATGTTAAATATAAATGTTATGATATTTTAACGTGGATATCGATAGCCGTCATTTAGAAGTAAGGCTTATTCTGCACTTCATTGAAAATGTTTTAGCAGGTCTAGATACAGTAGTTCTAGGGTACATAAGTGGGTAGTTCGGATCCTTTCTCTCCCTATTTATTCTTTGGAAGCTTAAAGGGTTATTCTAGCTACGCCCGCATTGGTAGGTGAGCTCACGGGTTTAACATGCGACAATTAGCAATTTGCTAACACTAGCCCTAGCAAGAGCAGAGCTTCGCAGAATTTACTACCGGATCGGAATCGCGACCCACTAAGAAGATCCGCCGATAAAATCGGTGAACTAAGCGGGTCCATTATTGTAGCTTTAATTCAGTGCGTTAGACCTAAAGACAATTTAAGTAACTCATGAAATCAAATTGGTCACAAGATATCTACTTGTGTTTACTTCGACGCTATTTCATAAATATTGATATTTAGTATAAATAGATAATAAGTACAAAAAAATAATTAAAAGCGCTCGGTTATAAATTACACTACCTTTTTCAATAATATGAAAGCTCTACGCCTATTAATATTTATTGCAGTGAACGTGTTAATCTAAAATTGACGATAATAAATTTTGTATGGTGGTCATCATATGTTTTGCTTTCTTCACAGTATTGGCGATGTGTGAACGGCGAGGGAGTTCAATTCTCGTGTCAACCGGGGACAATCTTCAACGTGAAACTTAACGTTTGCGATTGGCCTGAAAATACAGACAGACCGGAATGTTCGTAAGGTCTAAAAGCGTTATTAGTTAAACTATTCTAGGTATAGTGGTATAAAGCGGAACTCAGACTGGTCAAAAAAAGTCGTGATCTTCTTAATTTGGCAATAAACTTCGTAATCTAAGGCACGCATCTTAAATACCCTACCGAATGAATCTTTTGAAAACTTTTCAATCTCCCCTAGATACAGTTTCATGCATAGTATGATTTAAAAAGCCATTTCTTACTTCACATATCGAAAGGTGAGAAAATGTAAAATCATTTAAATACCAATGCCAATTAAACTATCTTTAACCTCACCTTTATTATTTTAGTTTCCTTATTCCTGACTTTTCCGATACTTTTCCAATACTCTACCGGATTCGTCGTCATAGATAACTAGCGAACTGATTGGATTCTAAAAGTACTTTTAATTGCACGCGATTCGCGATAACCGAAGTGAATACTAGCTATACTGAATTAAAGACAAGTCTGATCATAGTTTGCTCAAATAAATATAAAATAGTTAGTAAAGTAATAGGATTAAACGTTATTAACTAAAATAATATTGTCGTATTTTGTTGTCTAACAAAACACAATACGCCAATGTTTACGTCGACCCGTTAGATGCTAAGGACTATTTTATATGAGATATATTTTCTTTATTTACCCCTTTTTTGAGTACGTATATTATCTTTAAGCAACGAAATTTTGTTATCTGTGTTATATTATTAAAAAAAAATAGGAATGAAAACTTCGCTAACAAACGTCAAGCTAATCATTATTGGTAATGACTTTCTAATCATTGTTTTTCAAGATTGTATTAGATTAGTTTATTATTACTAACACACTGCTGTCAAAGATTTCACAAAAAAGCTACTTAGTAATTTAATTTACCTATGTAACTTTTCAGTTTTTTTTCTGATTGTTTACTTCATACAATAAAAATGTTCGTCTATATTCTATACTTAGTTAATGATGTTTGTTCGAAGTCTGAAACCAATTAGCCTTCTGCGGGTTTCAAGGGAATTTCTATAAATTTACTGAAGATCAAATGAGAGCAGAAGGCTCGATAGAATTTTATCTTCGTGAGTAATTAATTTATTTTAAATATAAGCCAATAAATTATACGAAATATTATATGTTTTATTTGTTTAAGCACTCTAATTTTCATTTACTATGCTCGAATTTCATATATATTTTAATTAGTTGAACCCACTAATGTTTTTCTGCTATTACACGCGCGCCACCTCTCGTGCGTTCATAGTACTATGACAGAAATTTTTCTTGTCCGTATTAGATTTCATCACAAACGGATGAAAACTTTATAGTAACGTATAGAGGTCAAACCGCAAGGTCAACGTTTTCCAAATCGGTCCATCCGTTCTCGAGTTTTAGCGAGACTAACGAACATCAATTCATTTTTATATATATAGATAAAGACACCTAAAACCAGAAAATAATGCCAATGTTTTTGTTTGTTCGTACAAAATAAGCCGTCTCCCTATTAATAATGGCGTTGAATTGTTATCCTTGAATAGCAAAATATTTTGTATCATATTGCTTGTGAAAAACTGCGAGGCGCTTTTTTACTCTTAGTAAAAACGTGTCACGAATATTATAAATAACATATAGATAAATCTCGTAAAATGTCTTGAAAATTTCCTAAATATTTTCACTGAAAACAATATACTCTAAGTGCCTATTTTAAGCCAATATAACGCTCTTTTAATCATAGGTATACCAAGCAGTACCAAACTATTATAATTGGCAACACAACCACAATTATACAACATTATGAGAATAACATCAATGCAGTAGAAGTCAATAAAATATTTAATACTAGCCGACCCGGCAAACGTTGTTTTGCCATATAAATTATTTCTAGGAAAGGTAAATAACCTAGATACCGACTGCAGCGCCATCTGCCGGGCTGATTTGTGAATCTAAACCATCCAGGGCGCCACCCAAATGCATACAAAAAACCATTCAAATCGGTCTAGCCGGAGGAGTTCAGTGACAAAAACACAGAAGAAATATATATTATATATAAAGATTAACAATAGTTCAAATACTACTGGTCAAATCTGGCAATAATGGCAACACTAGAAGTATCAGTTTTCAAATAAAAAAACTGTCATCAAAATCGGTTCATCTAGAAAAAATAATCTGTATTATCACATATAAACTAATATGTAACTATACTTGAGACCTTAGAAATTATATCTCAAGGTGGGTGACGCATTTCAATCGTAGATGTCTATGGGCTCCAGTAACCACTTAACACCAGGTGGGCTGTGAGCTCGTCCACCTATCTAGCAATAAAAAAAACACACACACGCACACATACAAAGTAATATATGTAAATTGTTGACTTTTTTGTTCTGTTCTGTTCAAAAATGCAATATTCTACCCACCCGTCTTTGGTTCATAAAATCACGTGGATCTACAAAAAGGCGAGCCCTTCCGAACTTCAATCGCAGTCTATATTTAGATTATGTCCTTTTGTTTATTTTTACGGTGTCCTTCACGTGTAGTAGGGTGTGCTTGACCTTGCGGTTATAAATACTAACGCCCACATCATCTCTGTTTCAGTTGATCTTTATTTAATAAAGTTTTAGACCACATTTGATAATATTACTTATTTTACTTGCTATGCAAAATATTTAATTAACTGGTGGTAGGACCTCTTGTGAGTCCGCACGGGTAGGTACCACCGCTCTGCTTATTTCTGCCGCGAAGCAGTAACGCGTTTCGGTTTGAAAGGTGGGGCAGCCGTTGTAAGTATGCTGAGACCTTAGAACTCATATCTCAAGGTGGGTGCTGGCATTTACGCTGTAGACAACGGCGGATCCATGGGGGGGTCATGGGGGTCATGACCCCCCCTGAGCTTGACTAAGGACTTGAGAGGACTTGAACTAACTTGGACTAATTGAAGAACATCATAATTTAATTATTATCTATTGTTATCAAAATTAAATCATAAGTTCTTAACTTGCCCACAACTATGTGACCCCCTCCTGGCGCCAAAGCTGGATGCGCCCTTGGCTGTAGATGTCTATGGGCTGCGGTAATCACTTAAAACCAGGTGGGCTGTGAGCGGTCGTTCACACATCTGAGCAATAAAAAAAATTTAGCTTCCAATCTTTCAATCTGTCATTCTCGTTATTAAAAGAAATGTTTTGAAAATGATCGGTCTAAAGGTCTATGGTCTAAATAGGCAGTCGCGTGACATTTAAATTATCTCTTTAAGCATTGCAAAAACGCTTACATCAATGTTTCTCTTAGCGACTTTAACGTTCTAAAAGGTTCTTTTAAGCTAAAGGTCACAGAAAATATGTGCATAAATTAATTCCTCAAGTTTATCATGAGAGCTTATTAATAGCAAACAATATTGATTAAACTAAGGTTTAATTTGACACTGCTGTGTGCTTATAGCGAGTTTTTTAATGTTATCGATAGCGTAAAAGTGAGTTCAAATTTGTATGCAGTTGGAACAGCGCCCCCCTAGGCAAACGTACGCAAACGTTATCACTCCATACAAAGAGTTAACTTTTACGCTATCGAGAACGTTAAAAAACTCGCACTAAGCACACTGACGCTCATGAACAACTGTGACCATTCTTCAGGGTGTTCCGGGTCAACGCCGGGTGCTTATCTGCTCACAATAAAAATAACATTAATAAACATCTAACCATAATACATGTAAACCATGTTTATATGATTTATGACATAAGTCTTAAAAGAAGTATAAGGAAATGTGTTATAAAGGTGACATAAATGGTAATTTGAATATTGAAATATAAAAAAAATAAAAACTTGTGAAGCAATAGCTTTAAATGTTGTTTCTCTTTATAGAGCAACACAGTTTGTGCTATTTATTTTATTTATTTTTATTTATTTAAATAGTACTGCTATATCACAAACATTTGACATTGAAAATAACTTAAACTATTTAATTTATGGCCCGATGCATGTGACAATAATGGCCTACATAATTTTACTAGGATAAACTTTATTTTGATGTGAATAAAATAATACGTTATATAGTACATATAGATGAATAAATGAACTGCCAGGTTAACATGTTTACGAAGAGCTTTTTCCATTATTCTAATGAGCGTTTCAGCTGACTTGCCTGCCTACATATTGCTTTAACCTCGTCTTAACCTATTCTGTCTCTTTGTGATTTCTCTCAGTGTATTTAATATATAATATAATGAACGTCTTCAGCTTTTTGTCTCAGTATTTCGTGTTCTTGATATGCGTGGGTCGCGTTTGCTGAATTATTTCTAACTTTGTAAATGTCATATGAGGGGACACGGGGATTATTTTGTACAGTTTTGACAGTTGGATATGGGCCTCAACGAAGCCGTGGCTATGTTAGAACACGTACCTAAAGCACTCCGCAAATCAAAATGTCAATCAATACGTATGTAAGATTAAAAATCAAATCTAATATGAAGTCGTCGCAGCCTAGAAGATAAGACGCCCGGCGGATACGTGTTGGGCGATGCGACGGTGCCGGTGTTCGAATCCCGCGGGTAGGTATACATTTTTCTAATTAAATACGTACTTAACACTTAGACGATGAAGGAACATGTTATCTATATATTAATATGTGAAGCAAAAACTTTGTATCCCTTTTTACGAAAATTGCGCGGACGGAGGAGTATGAAATTTTCCACACTTATAGAGAATATAGAGAAGAAGTGCACAATGCTAATATTTTTTTAAAATAATGCATAAAAGATATATTAAATCAATAAAGAAAACATTACACACACTACATACCATGTATTTGACGCACACACGCATGCATACTATTTATTGTCAAACTTTTGTTCTTGGCGTCTGTTGTCAAATTGAGAATAGATTAAATATTGTTAGTCTTTATTAATATTTTTTATAGTGTAGTCTTGGCGAAATTTGTGATTATAGAAGTATAAAATACAATCATAATAGTGTACAAACTTACAATTCCAATTAATTATAGTCGTATTTCGACTACTGCGGGACCTCTAGTTATAATTATAATATCAATTACATCGTGTAATAAAAATCAAACTCGCACAAACTTTATTGGAATTTAATTTGCGTGATTACTTATGGTAAGGTATCTTAAGAGCCCGTACGGTAAGTAAGTACCACGTTTCTACCACTGAAGCAGTAACTCGTTTCGGTGTGAAGTCTGGGGCAGTTGTTGTATTATAAAAAAAAAACTTCTGCCCCATGGTGGGTGACAGCATTTACATTGTCGACGTTTATGACGACTGGAAAAAACTGATACGCTAGAACTCATATCTTAAGGTGGGTGGCGGCATTTAAGTTGTAGATGTCTATGGGATCCGTTGATCAGGTAGGTCATTAGTTCATCCACCCATCTAAGCAAAAAAAGCAAAAAAATGCGTTCCAATAACCACTCAACACTAATTGGGCTATAGGCCCGTCCATATAAGCTATGAAAATGGTAGTCTTGGCTATTTATCGAAGCTTTCTAGTGTTTGGTTTCGAATTGTGTGATTCGAGAATACATTGTTTACCACTCGAATACCAACCAAAGCCAAAATAGCTCTTTGAGGCTTGTGGCAGTTAGGTAGAAAAAAAAAAAAAACAGTGAGTTGGAACCAACCATTTCGGGTTTCTAGCGTAGCTTTTAGTACAGTAGCAGTAGGTAGTAAGGATGTAAGGGATAGTTAAGTAAGAGAAAAAGCTAACTGTTTTTTT